ATTGAATGCAACTTTAAGTACAAAAAGGTAGCTATCGGGCAAAAAAAAAAAATTACATAAATTGTCAAAATAATAATTGTGTGAAAGAATGAATAGAAATATATTACTAAAATTGTTCTCGTTTCTGCAATAGAGCCATAAATGTATTCAAACGCGCATAAAAATATTTGTTTCAGTGAATAAAAATGCAAATATAAATTAATTTAATTAATAAAACTATGACAGTGAAATGGTAAATAAAAAAAAAAGAATATATGCACAGCAAAAATTTTTTTAACCCCAGCACCAAAAATTGCTGCAATATATACACCAAAATGTTTTTAAATATATGAAGGAAAATGAGGTTTGAAAAGTGAGCATAATACCATCAGATTTACTTTGGAAAATTAGGCCAAGAAATCTTTGAGTTTCTTGAGGAAACTGGGTCAGAAAGCCTTTAGATTAATTTTAGAGGGGTTCCAAAGTCATTCACTCACTGGTCAGAATTTTTATTCTAAAATTACGGTAAAATACCCAGCAGCAGTCTGTGCATCCAATTAACCGTAAAGTGTACTGTACGGGACATTTTTTTTTTGCCTTTACGGTTTTGAAACTATCTACAACTAGTATGGCTTAAAAATCTTAAACACGAAACAATGCGATTTTTTAATCACTTACAACTGGCATGGTTTCAAATACGTAAGAGAAAAATTTGACTGGACATTGAAGCTAGGCTTTCCGTTAGGTAATGGTCATAGGAGTTTTATAGTTATTAATGGTCATACTTAATTAGTTTCTCTGGTTATTTTATTAATCATAAGAGACGGGAAACACTAGACCTTTTGTGTTAAACAGTTTTATGGTGTTGCCAACTACGAGCAAATGGGACTATGGTATTCTAATAGTCCAGAGTCACAAATTAGAGGGTGCAGGACACTGGAAACTCTTAAAGCTGGGTATAACCCTTGTTCTGTAGGTCATGAGATCGACAAATTAGACACCTTGGATATAATATGTACCCTGTGCAATGAATTAAGTGGCTTAGTTGGCGAGATAAAATTCTGGTTGTTTAACCGTATTAGGTGAAAGATGTTAACAAACGATTTTTCTCTCAGTAAACAGTATGAATACCATTTTATTTATGGTCATTTGACGGTCTTGTGTGGACATTGTAAAATAACAATTAAATAAATTGTTTTTTAACCATTTTTTCCGAGATATTTTTAACAGTGTTCAAAATCTACAAAATTAAAGCCATATATGGAGAAATTGAATAATAAATTTTGTGGTTGAGAAGGTTTATTCAACAACAATTTACACAAAATAGATGGTTTAATTCTCTTGATTGACAAAGGAAGAGTATCCAGTCCTGCCTTCAGTGTTTAATGTATGTTCTTCAGATTTGCTTACCATCATATTAATTTCCTAAAAATAAAATAATTTAATATAGCATCTTACAAGTAAATATCATGAAACTAAAATTCTTAACTCAACTTATACTGGTTTTTTTGATTCTATGGATTCGTTAATATCTACGTAGAGTGTTCGCTAGCGAAAGTATAAGATATTCTATATTTACTGCCCTTAATATGTATGCTAAGAATCAATTGAATTTTCTAATGAAAGTAGGCGTTTCTTGTAATATGTTTCAATTACCCTTCTTTTTAACACTCTAAATATTAGACTTTGCTTTTGATAATGATAATAAAAATATAATTAAGGGCAGGGCCGGCTTATGCATGTCACGGCCCCTAGGCAATGCTGGTCTCGCCCCCCCCCCTACCGTCTTCTAACTTCCTAATATATTTTTCGCTAACACAACACTTTATTCATAATTACGCTGTTTTTTACTACATAGGTATATTATCACATTATTCAATAAAAATATTAAATAAAACGAAAAGAATATAAGTAATTAATATGTGCATTTAAAAAAAATCATACAATAAGCTTAAATATTAACTCTTCTAACTTTTTTTGTTACAAAATCGTTCAAGACATCCTGAAAGTTAATCTTTTCCAATACATCATTTTCAATTGCGATTATGGCCAATGAATTTAAAAGGTTTTGAGACATGACAGTTTTTAATTAATTTCAATTTGGAAAATTTTCGTTCTCCAGTGGCGTTTGTAATCATTAGACTTCTATATATTTGCAAAGCTGTTATTACATTCGGGAAAGTTGATTGTGCCATGTTACCAATAGTCAGTTTGTAAAACTCTTCGGCAGGCACAATTTTTTTTCCGGCGTCTTCTAATTGTAAGATGAAGTATTTATACTGCACCATTTCGTCTATAAACTCAAGCTCAATGTACTCGAAATAATGTTCCTTAAACTTTGTGCAAGCCTGTCTAATTTCAGCGTCGGATTTTGACACAATACAACGTATGTATTTAGCGGATCGGGGAATTCCCCAGTCTTGCGACGAAATAACCAGTACTGCCAACCTTATTTTTACATACTCTTTGGTAGCTTGGCCATAGAATATACATACCTATGGTAGGTACCAGAACAGTAAGTGTGCATTCACAACGTAGAATTTTGCGCGTTTTTCAAGCGTGTTGTGTTAAAAAAGCTGCTCTTGCTATACAGTCATCTGATTAGTCGGCGTTAAAATTACCGCGATAAAATTGCTTGCGATTATATTACTGCGTTATATATGAACTAACTACCATAATATTAATATCTTATTTGGAATGCGTTCAGAAATGTACTAAAATAGCGTCGATGTAATGTACAGAGCAAGACAATCGTCATTGAAATTTCGAATTAAATTTTTACTGTTTAAGAAACATAGTCAATTTTTTTTCTCTGTAGCACAGGGTCCCTGAACGTGGCGGGGCCCCTAGGCAGTTGCCTACAGTGCCTAATGGATAAAACGGCCCTGATTAAGGGTAGTGATTACGTAACACCCTGCATTTTTTCGGCTTAATTTTTAGGTTGAGAGCTAAACATTTCTTGAAATCAAAATCCTTCACACAAACTTGCTGTCTTCAAACTAAGATATAAGAAATTAAATAAGCGATTTTATTTTTTACATCTTAGAAAATATAATAAATTATTTTTTACATCTTAGAAAATATAATAAATTATTTTTTACATCTCAGAAAATATAATGATCATAATTGATGAATTAAGCGAGGTTATATAATAAAAACGCTCACGAAATCTGCTAGCACTATTGAGTAAGATAAAATGAAAAATAGCAAAAACATTTTTATTGCAAATGAATCCTGACGATGTTTCTAAGAAGAATATTCAATCAATTCCTAACTATTTTCTCGGAAGCAGATTTTGATGTTTTCAATCCCGTCTTCCCGGACAATTATTTTATTTTATAACCACCGTTGAACAATCGACCCAATTTTGTGCGCACGACTGCTTATGTTCAACTCCATAGCCTTACAAACTTTAACCCAATCCAGAAGACAAGAACTCCTAGATTAAGTATTGGGTGGAATTTGCCTCCGTGGAGGACTTTCTGATGGAACTAATAAAATTTGTGTTACATGGAAAGAGAAACCACGAAAACCTCCCACAGTTAGCATGACGGAAAGGGGACTGTAAGTGCTAAACGTTAGCACTGTGGTCAGCGAAAGCCGGAGGTGATATTCGTATCGACCAGTCATCGTTGGGATTCGAACCCGATTCGCCTAATTGGAAGGCAATCTCCTGAGCCACCGTGGCTCAGGAGATTGGGCGTTGATTTGTGATCCTTACTAGGTAAGAATGCATCTCGAAATTTCGATTAAAATAACGATAAACATGAATTAAAGAGCATGGAATAAACCTTGGATTTGGTGCAAGTTAGTCAGATTTGACCCAAGGGTATAATGTATGCCCCATTAAAGTTTGAGCTCATTTTAAATTAATTCAGTTTTTTAGACTGTATGTGTTCGTGGTGAAACCGTTAGGCTTTCTGTCATCTGCCAGGGCGTCCTAGCTGGAATATGAACCCCGTACCCCTCTTGTAGAATGCGGACAGTTTAAACGTTACACCACGAATGCGTATAATCTAGAACGGTTTTGTTAGTTTAAAAGAAAATTAACTGAAACTTTAATGGGGATTATATTGTCATAGGGTCTGATCTGGTGGCTGATTTGTACCTTATCTAGGTTTCCATGCATGCATGCACTTTATTTAAACTAACTTTGCTTTATCAGAAATTTCCGAGATACTTCTTTCCCTTGGTAGTGTGTGTGCTTTATTTCTGACAATGGTCCTAAAATGTACATTAGGGTACCAAATGTACATTTTCAAATTATGTACATTTCCAATATTACACCAAATGTACATTTTCAAAACCGCTAACATAGATTTTATTTTATTTTATAACCGTCTTTGAAAAGCCAACCAAATGTTTTGAGTTTACTACTGCTAATGTTGAACTCCATAGCCCTTTAATTTTGAACCCCATCCAGAAGACAAGGGAACTCCTGGACCAAGTATTGGGAGAAATTTGCTTTTGTAGAGGATGAGGGAACTAACTCGCTTGGTAGATGATGGAACTTTGTAGAGGATGATGGAACTAACCCGCATTTGCGTTACACAGGGAGGAAAACCACGAAAATCTCACACGGCAGTCTCCCTGACGGCAAGGGGACTCTAACCCATGATCCGTTTACTACTGAGGATATTTTTTGTCACCACTGTGGTCTCTGAAAACCAGAGGTGGAATTCGTATCGATGAACTATTGCTGGGATTTGAACCCGGTTCACCTCATTGGAAGGAGAACTCTCTATCCCCTGAGCCATCACGACTCCCTGCTGCCATTTGTCCAAACCAACTTGTATATGACTTGTTGTTACGTATTAAAAGCAACCGTATGATCCATGTTTTGTCTAATTCAACTGCACGAAAGGCTAGAAGGAAAAACGATGTAATAGGACAAAGCAAAAGCAACAGTACCGTGCATTCTCCAAGTACTGGTGTATCCTTCAAAAAGTAACAAAATGGACTAAATATTAAATTAAGAGTTCCAGTAAGCTTCATTACAAAAGAAAATCCATATTCCTTCACTAAGTAACCACCAAAAAGGGGACCTGCAAACAAAAAAAATAAATAATTATTTTCAAACAGATGATATTTCCGAACTCTGTTCCTTCTACGTTTACTCTTACACCAAAGAAAATAAAAAATAAAAACTACAGATTAAGTAGCTAATAGAAGTAAAGCAATAATTTTTGTTCGGTTGAATAGTTCCCGAGAAATTGAATTTTAAAAGTGGAATTTTTTAAATTTATATTTCTCAGGAATTATTTGACCGATTCGGCTCAAATTTCATATTCAGCCATGCAAAATTGCATTCTTTAAAATGATTCAAAAATCGACGTACCTTACAATTCAAAATTTTCTTGACTGCTATTAAACAAAATAATAAATATTTACTGAAAGATACTTTCTGCACGGAATTATCTTTAGATAAACGAATTCTTTAATTGTGTGCAAAAAGTTTTTGATTCGTTTAAAAATTTCCCGAGATATAACGCAATGAGCAAAAAGTAACATTAATAGGTCCAAACTTTGGAATACTCTCCTGAACAACTTTTGCGAACCATATTTCCCAGATTGCGGCCTCCTCTTATAATTTGAGGGTCAGAAATCCGAATCCGTCTTAATAAGGTAAGTTTAGTCAGAGAAAGCACGTTTTTGTGTCTAGTTTCGTCATTAAAACATCGCGTGTACTAATTAATTAGCGGGGTCATCCCTCCTCCCTCCCCGAACCATAAGGATTGAGTCCTAGAACATGAAGATCCACTCTTTAGATCAAAAGTTATTCAGGATGATCCGTTTATTTTTTGCCCATATTTGGAGAAATCTGCACTTAAATAGGAAGGGGAAAATGCAAGCTCATCAAAAAATGCTCAAAATCCTCTGTAAACAATAACTAAGGAAGAAAATCTCCATTAACAATCAAAAAAGCATTTCGGGTTTGTCTCACTTTCTTTAATATAATATTAATTTACTTGCCTTTTGTAGGCTGGAGAATATTTACGAATTTTAAAAATTTAAATCAGAAAAAAAATCAGTACGGAGTATGACTTTAAAATCTTTAAAAAATCGATATAAACAATTCTAGCCAATGATCTTCAATAAAAAATCAAAGTAAGAAATACTGGGAAATATCTTAGCTTTTTAAAAAGAAAACATTTATTTAAAGAATGCCGAGTAAGGGCATACCTATAAATGGACCTTTACCACATGGAAAAAAAATTATGAAATACCATGCAATCTTTATCTTTTCTCAAATGCGAAAGATACGAAAAAATCCACCTTCTTAAGAGGGTGGCTTGGAATTTAAAGGGATCTTGCTTTTGTAATCTTGTTGCCATTATCAAACTAAATCATCAGCGTATACAGTGCGGCTTTGAGGAGAACTCCTCCAGACTGAAAATCTGGGGCTGTCTGCTGCTATGGTAACAAATGAAAGCACAATTCTAATGGGGGTGCAATGGAGGAATAAAGGTGTCGATTGGTTTATTCCCGATGGCCTATACCAAGATGAAGACAAATCTATCTACCCACTCCTCTATTTGAAGTGACTTTTCCTCGTAACCATGGTACCTGCCACGACGCGAGACTGATGCCTGGGGAAGTTCTCCTGAAAGCCGCACTATACATTAGCTACTATAACAGCAACAACAACTGCAGCGTAACATTCAGCAAGACAATCATTAGACAGGCCACACACGGTAGAAAGAGGCATACAATTGGCGAATTCCTTTACTTTTGCGTCAGGATGCGCAGAGGTGATGTGCGCATGATAATGCAAAAGTATTGGAATCGATCTTTCATATGTCTTTTACTTGTCGCTTGCCTCTTCTGTGTGAAACCTGCCTAATGGCACGCAAAGGATAAGCAATGTTGGTATAATGAAGAAAATGGTGAAATAATTCAGGAAAATTTCTTCATCTTAAGTTGCGCGATAAATCCAACATTTTATTTCTTTGAAATACAAACTCTGATGTTTACTAGATTTAAAAAAAAAATAGTAAAAAAGTTTTGTTGACATCGATATAAGTCAACCATGGTGCTCATTCTGATGCACCNAATTAAAAAAAATTAAATAAATAACAACAATTTTGCAAAAACATTAAAGAACATAAGAATATTATTCAATAAAATTTTAAGTTACTTTAAATTTTCGATTTCCTAAAAATGTACTTTTAAATCGTTACTTTTTTTGTTTAGTACTTGCACTTTTACTTGTACTTTTTACTCGTTACTTTTTAAAATAAGAACTTTTTACTTTTCACTCGTTACTTTTTTTGAAAATACTTGTACTCTTACTCGTTACTTTTTAAAAGTAACGTTGCCATATATGAATAGGACGAAGCAAAAACAACAGTACCGTGCATTCTCCAAGTACTGGTGTATTTTTCAAAAAGTAGCAAAATGGACTAAATATTAAATTAAGAGTTCCAGTAAGCTTCATAACAAAGGAAAATCCATATTCTTTCACTAAGTAGCCACCAAAAAGGGGACCTGCAAACATAAAAATGAATAATTATTTCTCAACAAATTATGTTTACGAACTATTTTACTCCTACACCAAAGAAAATAAAAAATGCTACAGATTAAGTAGCTAATTAAAGTAAGTTCATAATTCTTTGTCGGTGGAATAGTTCCCGAGAAATTGAACTTCAAAAGTGGAATTTTTCAAATTTGGATTTCTGTGGAACTATTTGACCGATTTCGCTCAAATTTTATATTTAGCCATGTAAAATTACATTCTTTAAAATGATTTAAAAATCTATGTACCTTATTATTCAAAATTTTTTCGACTGTTATTAAACAAAATAATAAAAATACTTACTTAAAGACATTTTCGGCGAAGAATTATCTTTGGATAAATGAAATTTCTAATTGTGTGTAAAAAGTTTTCAATTCGCTTTAAAAGTTCTCGGGATATAACGAAGTAATAAAAAGTAACATTAACATTAGTAGGTCCAAACTTTGGACTACTCTCCTGACCGAACTATTAGGAAAATATTTCCCAAATTGAGGCTGCCTCCTATAATTTGAGTGTCAGAATTCCGAATCCGTCCAAAAAAGGCATGTTTAGTCAGAGAAAGTACGTTTTTGTGTCTATTATCATAACTAAAATATCACTTGCACTAATTAATTAGCATATTTGAGGTCATTCCCAACCAAACCATTAAGATTAAATCCTAGAGCATGAAGATCCAATCTTTAGATCAAAAGTTATTCAGGAGGTTCCTTTTATTTTTTACGTACTGTACATATTTGGAGAACTCTGCTCTTAAATAGGGGAAAAAATGCAAACTTACCAAAAAAAAGTTAAAATCCTATATCAACGACACTCAGGAAGAAAATCTCCATTAACAATCAAAAAAGAATTTTCATGCTTTGGGTTTGTATCATTTTCCCCAGTATAATATCAATTTATTTGCCTTTTGTAGCCAGGAGAATATTTACGAATTTTACACAATTTAAATCAGAAAAAAAATCAGTACTGGATTATGACCCTAAAATCTTAAAAAAATCAATGTAAGCAATTTTAACCAATGATTTTCAATAAAAAATCAGAGTAATAAATACCGGGAAGTATCTTAGCTTTTTTTTAAAAAAAAACATTTATTTAAAGAACGCCGAGAAAGGGCATACCTATAAATGAACCCTTATCCAAAGAAAAAATATTATGAAATACCATGCAATCATTATCTTTTCTCAAATGCAAAAGATTCGAAAAAATCCACCTTCTTAAGCTTGGAATTTGAAGGAATCTTACTTTTGTAATCCTGTTGCCATTATCAAACTAAATTATCAGCATATACAGTGTGACTTAGAGGAGAACTCCTCCAAACTGAAAGTCTGGGGCCGTCTGCTGCTATGGTAACAAATGAAAGCACAATTCTAATGGGGGTGCAATTGAGGAATAAAGGTGTTGATTGGTTTACTCCCGCTGGCCTATACCAAGATGAAGACAAAACTATTCACCCCACTCCTCTATTTGAAGTGAATTTTCCTCGTAACCATGGTTACTGTCACGACGCGAGACTGATGCCTGGAGAAGTTCTCCTGAAAGCCGAACTATACATTAGCTACTGTAACAGAAATTACAATAGCAACAACTGCTGTGTAACATTCAGCAAGACAATCATTGGACAGGCTATACACAGTAAGAGTGGCATGCAATTGGCGATTTCCTATGCCTTTGAGTCAGGATGCGCAGAGGTGATGTGCGCATGCTATTGCAAAAGTATTGGAATCGATCTTTCGCATGTCTCTTACTTACCGCTTGCCTCCTCTATGTCTAACCTACTTAAATACAAGCAAAGGATAATCAATGTTGGTATAATGAAGAAAATGGTGAAATAATTTATGAGAATTTCTTCATCTTAAGTTGCGCGATAGATCTAACATTTTATTGCCTTAAACTCTGATGTTTACTAGATTTTTAAGAAAAAAATAGTAAAAAAATATAAGTCAACCATGGTGCTCATTCTGATACTTACCAACTGAATATGCAAGACAAACTGCAACTTGAGCGACAGCGTAGATAGTACCATACAAAGCAACGTGTCTTGAATCTACTAAATAAGCAAGTAAAGGCATCAGAGAAGCATCAACAATACCTGAAAATATTACACCCATTCAATTTACTTACTAAATTATATTTATTATTCGGTTAGTATAATATGCATTTGAGTAGGACCTTTTAAATTTTTTTTTCTTAAGAAAGGTTGTTTAATCTAAAAAGTAATAATAATATTCCCTCTTCACTTATGAAAATTTTAATTCTAGAAATAATGAAATTAAAAGTAAAAAAAAGGAAGAAGAAAAACGGACCAAATCAGGTTAACAATATAATTTTATTTCCTTCCTTGATATTATAAATCTAATTTTTAAAAAGTTCGTTTAATTTCTTTCTCATTCTTTCAATTAATTTGAAACTTCTTAATGTGCTTTGTTTTATTGCAGGTGTTTTAAAAATATATCATGATGACCCCTTTTATTATAAATATAGTCATTGTCTGATTAAAGACTTAATTCCTTTCAATATATATATATAGGAAATAACAGTCGATATGTTTCAAGTGCTCAAAAATAGTCCCCCATTTTCAAGACAAGACATGAATGCCATACTCTTCAGTGAACAGGAAATGCTTTTCCGGTATTTGTAAAAAAGTGCATAATCTCCATTTTTTAATGTGTTAGATTTCATAAACGGAAAAATAGTAATGTTTTCTTACGATTGTCTTTTCTAAAATATTTACTAATTACAAATTAAATTAATACTTAACCATAACATTTATGGCCTATTGCACTAATGGTCTATTGGCGACGTTCTGGGATCTGAAAACATTACTGGTGCTTACGTATACAACACTACCACAATTTAGACCGTAGGGCACAATGGTGTAAGTAATCACCCGGCTTCCGTACCAAGCTCCCCGATCACCCTACCATGCGTGGACGTTACTGGCTCAGGAACTATCAGGGACATTATATTAAAGTTGATTTCTGAAGCGCAAATACTAAATCAGAGAAAGTGCTGATTGATCAGACATCCAGCCTTTAGCACAGCGAATCGAACCCCAAAACAGGACTCATTACATTTAGAAAAACATTTTGAATTTGGAAATATAGATGGCAGCATTATCAAGCATGCGTTTCAAAATATTCATAATTTTTTTAAAGGAAAAGTGAATAAGTAATTATTTATTCCGCAAAAGCAGAGCTTCATAACCGTCATTGAACAGCCAACTCAATTTTGGGTCTACGACTACTAATGTTTAACTCCGTAGCCTTGTAATTTTGAACCTAATCTAGAAGACAAGGGAACTCCTGGATCAAATACTGGGAGAAATTTGCCTTCATTGAGGACTTTTTGGTGGAACTAATCCACATTTGCGTTACATGGTTAAGGAAAATATGAAAACCTCCCACGGTTAGCCTGACGGCAAGGGGACTTTAACCCATGATCCGTCTACCATTGAGGATAATTTACGTCAGCACTTTGGTCGGTACGGAATTCGCATCTACCGGCCATCGTTGGAATTCGAATCCGGTTTCGAAATTAACAATTTTTTTTCATCAAATATTTTGGAAGATTTTACAAGGCAAAACTGTTACCACAATTTGAAAGATCACGCTTGAATCTTTCAGAAATGGAAACTTTTTTTTTCATGTAAAATTCAGGTGAACCAAAATGAGTGCAGAGAGTTGAAAGCTGATTTCCTTTTTCAATACCCATATAATTAAAAAAGCATTCTTATAATAAATGACGCCAAGCATGAAAAATGATTTTAAAAGCGTTATATAAGGTTAAAAGTTCCAACGCTCATTTCGGTAAATTCAAACTTTGCATGGGTGAAAATGACATCATTTCTAAAAGCATGACCTTATAAATTATGCCAGTAGTTTTGACATCTAAAATCTTACAAAGCATTTGTTGCTGTAAGAAAGATTATTTACATAAAATTAGCATAAAAGTGTTTCCGTTTTTTTTAAATTTTATTTATTTATTTAATTTTTTTTAATTAATCCCTGCAATATTCTTGTGTGATAAAGTGTTTATAAAAGAGAACACAGGTGGTCGGGGAATTCTTTTCAAAATGAAACTTACCTATTCCAAGTCCTAAACCAAAATGAGGTATCACAAGCTCTAGAATATGGGTGGTAAGAGGAATCTATGGAAACAACGAAAAAGGAGTTGCTATTTTCAGTTTAAAAAACAAATCGACATGATTTGTTAAAATAATAAATATTATTTGTACAAAGAACAAGATAGACAAAAGAAAGATAAGATATTTTTACCCATTGGCAAAATGAGTCTTGGTTTGGATTTGATGGCGTTCACGCACTTTTTAACTGCATTCTGGAGTAATGGTAAACAGTGCGCATGCGTCGTCATTGCATGCGTTGCTATGGCGACCGCTGTTGTTTTTCTTTTAATTTTCTCCAGCTGTCAATTTTAATGTAGTTACATAATAATAATTTAAAATCTATATATATATTTCTCCTACACGGCGATAAAAAAAGCCTCATTACAACTCCCCGAATGGCAACGCTAGAAAATCGACCAATCATTGCGGCTAAGAATGTCTCATGGTGAGATGACTCAACATATAGCGCTTCTAAAAACGGAAATAACCAGAGTGTAAAATATTATGTGCTTATGCGCAACGTATTTTTTGTTAAATAATTTATTTATTATATATCAGCTTATAGATGGTAACGAGAAGAGTTTTGTGGTTGCTATGGTGACTATTTAGAATGAATTTTTTTTTTTTTTTTTTTTTTTTTTTTTTTTTTTTTTTTTTTTTTTTTTTTTTTT